TGTTACAATACCTAAGGGAAGGGAGGTAATGACATTCCCGGTAATATACCCCAAAAAATCTACTATTGGTAATAAAACATTACCGGGAATGAGATTTCCGGCCAACCAAACATGGGAACATTGGAATCCCACAATCCTTGAACCAAACACCCCCTAAGGGTAAACTACGTGATTTGTCACTTTTGTTTAATATTTGTACATATTTTCTCACTAGATTTAAAGAAATTATTTTTTGGTCATTTTATTTTTCCTTTTATTAAGATGAGGTCACTGAAATTCATTATCATAACATTATCGGATTGCTGACTTGGTGCAATAAATAAATAAAAGAAAAAAAGCATGTCATTTCGGGGCAAAAAGACTACTCCTTAAAATGTTTTTAGAATTTGGAAGTTATTTGTTTTAAACATATATATAAGGATATAATCCACTTATAAATGTAAAACTCTTTTAATTGTATACAGATTTAGGACCGTTGGATGAGTGAAAATAGGTGATTCAGATTAACTTCTTTTTTCAGTAAATATCTTATCATTTCACCAACCATCTATTTTCACTCATCAAACGATCTTAAATCTACGTAAAACTAAAAGAATTATATATATATAATTTGTGGTAGTTGAAGGGATTGATATAAGCATAACGTATGTTTAGATGCAAGGAAAAGTAGTGCAGAAAATTAATTTGAATGGATTGGAGAGGATGCTTTAATGCTTGATAAAAGCTTTTCACACATTGAGAGAGTGTGTGGTCATGAGGATGGTTCGTATACGCAGCAGTGTGTATGTTCACATGAGCTTTTGTTTAGTAATTATTTATTAGGGTTTGAATTGCGCCTTCTTTCATTTAAAACCTGCCATCAACGTCACCACCATAAATGTAGTTCATAGCTTCAACTTTATTTCCTAATAAATCAACAACCATAAAAGGGATTTTTTTGTTACATATATACACACATAGCAACATTTACTAGAGGGAGGTGATATGGGAATTTAACTCTTAAGGGTTATTGAACTCGTAACTTAAAGGAGATAGGATGTGTCAATTGAGAATTTTTAACCATCTACTTTAGAGATTGTTGACAATAAACGCTTATAACTCTGCATACGCAATGTTTGAATGTGAAACCTCAAGAGATAACAATAAATCGTTTAATCTAATATTTTAGGGATGAGTCTACAATGCATGAAACATACCCATATGCACCACCAATGACATACATTGATATGTACCACCAATATTTTTAATGGATAAAATTCATAATGATCATCAAAATTTACTAAAATAAATTTTTTTGTTATTGGATTTTTAAAAGTTACAAAATAGACATTAATCTTTGGATTTTGTTAAAAAAGTAGATATCAAATATAAAATGTTGTTACTAAATTAATGGAAAAAAATATCTTACTTGATCTTTTAATTATAACTAAAATATCATTTTTTATATATATTTTTCAATATTTTTAAATAATGATTCTAAAAAATAAAAAATTCAGATTTTTTAAAAATATATGATAACAGTTTAGTTTTTAATATTTAAAAAATATTTTTAAAAAAAATATAATTTATGATTTTTTTTAATTCATCAAATACATCTAACTTTAAATAAATAATCCAAATAGTCCTTAACTTTTAATAACATATCAAATAATTTATATAATACAAACTCAATATCTATAATATAGCAAAAAAAATATTTATTTTATTTACATTTATTTAGTTTTGAATTTAACGAACTTAATAAAATTATTTTAATTAAAATTAATAGTAAAATAAAATTTTAATAAAAACTAAAGCGTCAAATGCAGGTTTTCCCCCTTATTTTTGGGTGAGGATAAAGCTTAATATATATGTATATCAATATTTATTAGTTTTTTTAATTAATTTAGAGTGATTACAATGTGTAGTATTTGTTCTAAAGATTCTCAACTATTTGGCAATGAAAGCTCAAGTATCCATACAGTCTTTGGTGATCAAACTTAGGACTTTTAGAGATAACAATCATCCCTTTAACCACTGAGGTAACTTGATTCGTACAATAATATTTATTAGTTATGTTAGCAATATGGGTGTTCGATATTTTAAGTAAGTTTAAGGATTTGAATCTTGATATTGTAAATTTATTAAATTAAATTGGAAATATCGTCCCATAGTGTTCGATCTAAATTAATAGATTAATAAATTAAATATATGGTTAAAAATAGTTATTTTCAGTAGATAAAATCTTCCACACAAAAATTTGTAACGTTCTAATACTACTTGATTTAATTTATAAAATCAATTAAATAGATGGATTAAATTCATCAAACGAAAATCTCAAAACCAGTCTAATTTATTATTATTATTATTATTAATTTTGGGTAAATACAAGGTAGTATCTATTCGAAGATAACTTTTAACCATTTAATATTAAACACTTGTACTCCTTGATTATTAGTGCTCGAACCCAAACCTCAAGAAATAAAAATAATTTATTTACTATCGAAATTATTGGATTCGTGCCTAATCTAAATTATTGAATTGGGTAGATTTAATCGATTTAATCTATTATAAATTATATATTGTATAAAATTATATTTTATTAATATAACTATTAATATTTAATTCATTAATCGATCAATTTAAATTGAATATTAAAAAAATTTATTATTAAGATGATTTTATCAACTTAATTTATCTAATTTATAACGTTAGAGTTTAAACTTTCATTTTATTTTACGAGTTTAGGACCTAATTTCACTATATACTAATGAATAATTAATTTAAAAATAATGTATAGTTTATATATTTGTTTAAATTATATAAAATATATTCAAAAATAAATCAAATTAATATTTAAATCTATTTTGACTATTAAATTTAATTATTTTGATACATCAAATCAATTATCTATTCAGTTGCCTTTTAAATTTTTAAAATTATAAAATTAATATTTATCATGAAGATTTTTTTTTAAATAATAAACTATATCGAAACAATCATGGTTATGACTGTAAATGAGACGAAACAGATCGCGAGCTACTTGAGATCAACTCGATCAAGACTCGATAAATACTCGGATCGAATGGACTCGACTCGAGTTATTAACGAGCCGAAACGAGCTACTCGATATTTGACTCGAAAAGCTCGTGAGCAGCTCGAAAATATAATATATTAAGATTTTATTTTTTTTAATAAATTATTAATAATATTAATATTTATGTATTGATTTTTTTTTAAAACTACAGTAAAATTTCATGTATTTAAGGTTCATGTTCTAGTTTGAGTTTGAGGCTTTAATCGAGTTAAGTTTAAGATTTTTTTTTTCATTTTGAGCCTTTTCGAGCTGCTCACGAGTTTCAGTTCAGGATTTCGAGTCTAGCTTGAAAATTTTAAACTCGCGAGTTTTCGAATCAAGTCGAACTCCATTTCAGAATTTTCGAATCGAATCGAACTCAGCAATACTCAAACTCGCATAAACTCATTTACACCCCTAATCATGACCGGTAAGTACATACATTTTTTTTCATCGAAGTTGAAATTGCCATGTAAAATGACGATTTTTCTTTAAAACTAAGTTTTTAATTATTCTTTTGGATATATTAAAAAGACTACTTAATATAAAAAAATAGGCTATACTTTTCTTTTATATAGGTGTTTAATTATTTTAGATCAAAATATGTGTCTAATATTATTAATGTTATCATTTTAAGTTCTTGATATATCACGATCGTTAAAAAAATATATTATCTGACAAGTATCACGTTATAAAATTCTAAAATTTTTATTTAAAAAAATTATAATTGTAATTTTCTAAAAACACCTCAATTTTTTCTATTTTTTTTAAAAAACTCCAAGACACTAAAAGCCTTAATTCTAAACCCCAAACATCAATATTTGTCACCATTGTCGTTGTAATTGCCCTGGTCGACATCATCGACAAATAACCGCCCAATCGTCACCGCTCGTCCAGTGATTAACCATCGCCCAATTCCTTAAATTTTTTAACTTAAATTCTTAAAAATTTTCTAAATCCCTTTAACCGGTCGTTCGCAACAATAACGACAATGACAACGATAATTGATCGTTTGACCACCCATTAGCCTTTGGTAGTTTGATGCAAGACTATCATTTTACGATTTGGTGATTTGAAATTTGCCTTTGGATAGGCTAAAGCCTTTGGCGATCGTTTGACATTTGATCATTGATCGATGATTAGAGATTCAGGAGTAGTGATAGCCGCGACAGGGTAACCGATAAGGGATGATCGGTAAAAATTAATGTTTTGGGTTTAAGAAGTTTTTTTTTTTAAAAAAATAGGGTTTCTAAAAAAATACACTTCCTATCTCATAAAAAATGTTTCTTATTGATTTTTTAAAAGTCAATTTTTAAATTTTGATCATTATTATTTCAAATAATTTTTAAAATATATTTTTACATATTTTTATCAATAATAAATTTTAAATAATAATTAATTAAATTTTTAAAAAATAACCAAAAAAGTTAAAACAAGTGTTTTAAGATCAAATTTTAACTTAGACATTTAAAATAATATTATAAAATATCATTAAATACAGTTAAGCATAATTTAGATATTTACAAGTCTAACAGGAACCAGAAAGCTCACACTTATCCGGAAACTTTAAAAGTCCAGGTTAGGGTGGAAACTTGCTGTGGTGCAGTTAAAGTATTCAACGTGGAGAATACCCATTGGTGGAATGCAAAAGAGATTAGAAGCGGAGTTTCACACAGGATACTTACCTGCGGTGCTCCGACCGAGGCCTTAATAGATGGACAAATGCAAAACGCAAGTGAGTAATTCTTTATACACGACAGAGAAGACGAGAAAACACATTACAGCGGCTGGTTCTTTATCTAATAACATTCAACAGCAACTTACTTGAAAAGGACATGGATCAAATAGTCAACCCACTCCCACATGTCCCCTCTTGTATAAAAACCCACACTTCATCATCTTCTTTAATCATCACATATGCAGAGAGATCACATACTACATGAACATGTCCCAAGCTTTTTTCACTTCACTCATGGTGGCTTTTCCTCTCTATTTGTTCTTCAGATTGTTATTCTCTTGCTGGATTCTGCCCATCCTTGTTTATATTAAGCTGCGAAAGAATGGGTTTAGGGGTCCAATCCCTACTTTTCCTCTGGGAAATATTACAGAGATGAAAATCGCTAGTAAGAAGAAGAATACCAATGACGATTCTTCTTCTTCACTTATCTCCCATGATATACACTCCACTGTGTTTCCTTACTTCTCCCGGTGGCAAAAATCTCATGGTAAGTTAACTCTTTAGCTGCCTTCTTCTCAATCTCATATAATGAAAGCGCTTGACGTTTTTGTGTTTGTGGTGCAGGGAAAGTGTTCATCTATTGGCTGGGAACTGAGCCATTTTTATATGTTGCAGAGCCAGAGTTCCTTAAGAAGATGTCATCAAAAGTTCAGGGAAAACGGTGGGGAAAACCCAATGTGTTTAAACATGATAGGAAGCCTATGTTCGGAAGTGGATTGGTGATGGTTGAAGGAGATGATTGGGTTCGCCATCGCCATGTTATTACTCCTGCATTCTCTCCACCCAACATGAAGGCCATGGCAAGCTTGATGGTGGAACCGGCGACGAAGATGCTCCGGAGGTGGACAACCGTGATAAATTCCGGTAAACCCAAGATCGACGTCGAAAGAGATATCACGACAATGGCAGGGGAGATCATCGCGAGGGCAAGCTTCGGGTTGAGCTGCGAAAACGGGAGCGAAGTGTTTCAAAAACTTAAAGCCATGCAAATCACGCTCTTTAACCATAACCGCTACGTGGGTGTTCCTTTTAGCCGGTGGATTTTCCAGAAGAAGAACATGGAAGCGAAGAAACTTGGTGAAGAAATCGACCAGGTTCTTTTATCGATCATGGAGGATGTTGAGAAGAAGAAGAACAAGTGTTTGGTTGGGTATCTTATGGAAGGGGAGAGGTTGAATGGAAGGGAGGTTGTTGACGAGTGCAAGACATTCTTCTTCGGTGGACATGAAACCACCGCATTGTTACTCACATGGACGTTGCTGCTTTTGGCCATGCATCCACACTGGCAAAACCAATTGAGGGACGAAATTACACAAGTTTTTGGAGATGGAGAGATCCATTTCTCCAAACTTGCCCACTTAAACAAGGTAAATCAATTATTGATTTACACCACTATTCTTTATATACGAATTAGTATTATTTGGTACAATCGCACAGAAGTTGAGGGACTAAAAAGATAACAAAAATAGTAAAAAAATTACAAAGTGTCATTTTTGCACGTGAAAAAAAAAATTGAAATGAACAAAGATGGGGCACATGAAAGTTCAGCGATCTCATTTCAAAGTTGAGAAAACTCAACTAGTAGCGGACAACATACTTTAAATTATATTTCCTGATTTTGCACGTGCACATGTACAAAGTATATATTTTGCACGTGCACATATACAAATGTGATGGTTAATTATAGGTAAGGATTGCAGATGGGATGGGTGATGAAGGAGGTACTAAGGCTTTACTCACCAGCGCCAAATGCACAAAGGCAAGCAAGAGAAGATATAAAGGTGGATGGTGTAATTATCCCTAAAGGAACCAACATATGGATTGACACCGTCGCCATGCACCACGATCCGGCTCTATGGGGTGACGACGTTAACGAGTTCCGGCCGGAGAGGTTTAAAGACGATCAGGTGTACGGCGGTTGCAAGCACGAGGTGGGGTTCATGCCATTCGGGTTTGGAGGGAGGATGTGCGTTGGGAGGAATTGGACGTTGATGGAATACAAAGTTGTGTTAAGCCTTATGCTCAATAGCTTTTCATTCTCCCTTTCCCCAACCTATCGCCATTCTCCCTCTATTTTGCTTTCCCTAAGGCCTACCTATGGACTGCCTCTCATCGTTCAACCCCTTTAGGTTCTTCAATTAAGCAAATTATTATTAAAGGCCTTTCAATATTGATGTTAATTAATATGTTTTGATCTATTTTTTAATTAATACTAGTAATTAGTTTTATTTAATGAAGTAAAAATACAATAAAATTGGAATATTAGTTTATAAAATTAAAATAGATTTTTTTTGAAAAAAATGAAACAGTTAATTTTATTAAGAAAAAAAATCCAAAATTACAATGAGAGTTTATAACTAAATTCGTAAATTAAACACATGATTGAAATATTCTCCTATAATCATTAACACAAGAAATTAGTCACTTAAGATCATGTAATGACTATATAAGGAAAAGGCGAGAAACCCATAAAAATAGAACAATAGGTAGATACAAACAAATTTAACTGTTACGGTAAACAAATCACAATAGGAGATTAAACTATTGAAAGATCACCGACAAATGCAAATCGAAACAAAACATCGTGAGAAAAATATCTACGAACGCAAAGTGCGTATCCAAATTCAGTTCGAGAGTCTAAAACAATGAAGATCAATGGGATAACAATTGTGCGCCATATTGATCAGTCGCGACGATAACAAATTCAACCCTAGAAAAATAAATGATAAGAATAGTCAAAAGACTAAAAAAGAAAATAAAAAAATATACCGTAAAAACATAAAATCATGCTATAAAGATAAAAAAATCGTACCATATAGAAAAAAATCAAAGAAATACCATCGGCGGTAAACAAAATCAAAATTAATGTTGTCGTCTACCAACCAAAGATGAAAAAGAAAAGAACAAGCGACGACTTGAGCAAGAAACGGCTTAGAGAAAAAGAGAAGTAAAAACTTTGAAGGAAAAAAAATCACAGATACAGATACAAATACAATTATCAACAATGAAAAATAAATATCAACTTTAATATAATAAACATATGACAATGATTATACGTTGACAAACGATTGGTTTTATCACAATTTAAATCTGACATATCTTTGGTGATTATGAAAGGCTGTCAATAAAAAAAGAATTAATTTGAGAATTTAAAATAATAATAAATTAATAAAATAATTAAATAAATGTTATATAAAAACATATAATCAAATTTAATCAACAAGGAAAAATGAAACATAATACAAAAAATAATATTACAAAAATAAATAAAATCATCAAATATTTTAATAAAATAAAATAAAATACATCAGACAAATAAAACAAAAATAAGATAAAATTTGAAGAATAAAAGGAGGAATGAAAGAAAAGAAAAGAAAAAGGAGAGGAGCAGCTACAGAATCGGACTTGTCTTAATCTAGTTCAACATGGTTTGGTTTAAAAAGAAAAGGGTAAAGTACACAAATGATCCCCAGTTATATGGTATTTTTTTGTTAAGTCATTTTACTATTAAAAGTTATAACCACTGACAGAATATAATAAAAATCATATTTTAAAGATGTCTATTGACACTGTTACTGCTTTCAAGTACTGACTTGACGATATAATATTTTAAGCACTGGCTTGATAGTATTATATAAACAGAGATTCAATCTATAAAATACAAACAAATAATTCTAGGATCAAATTTTATCATATCCTAATGAGTATGTTAACGTCCAGCTCAGACGACAGCCAATTTTTAACGAAAAAGGACAAGTTTGGAATATACAAATAGTTAGATGACTATTTTGTAACTTTTACTAGCCAAAGAACTCAACAAGACATAGTTTTATAATTGAGATTATTTTATAACTTTTAATAATTGGGGAATTAATAAATAATGCAATATAGTTGAAGGGCCATTTGTTTACTTTACCCAAAAGAAAACTCTGCTTTCTTTTGGTTTAGACAATAATTAGAAGTGAGGAACCGGAGATTAATGAAACTTAAAACTCCGGTACTCACTCACTCACTCTGTCATCATCGAATACATAAACAAAGACAATCGCCCCTTTCATCTTCCCAAAACAAACCAGCCAATTCTTCCTTTTCTATTCAATTCTCCATTTTTCAGTTAGGGCGAGCAATTCTTTTCCTTTTTAATGTTTTTGATGATGGCTTCCACGACTGTCACGTGGTCGCCGAGCTCTCCCCAGCTTCGTCTGGCTATGCGTTGCAGGATTTCCTTGGACTCACCTGCGGTTCTCGTTGGGGCGCCCGCGATGAAGCTCACTTCTCATCGTCGTCTTCGCTTGCTGTCTGTTGCACGATGCAGGAGGGAGGGGCTGAAACGGCGTCGTAATGGTGCTTCGCCGATTGTGGCGGACTCCACAGGTGGGACTGCGGCGGATTTCTTTTCCGGATGGTCCGATGCGGAGCATGTTGAAGATCCCGTTCACTTTAAAAGGAACGAATGGTTTGGAGGTATAAATCTATTATACTTTGCACGAAGAGGTATCCTTACCATACCATTGTTCTTGATCGAATATTGTGTTGTTTTTCTTTCAAGAGCTGGTAGAAAATGATGAAAGTTTGATCTTTTTGTTATTTCAAAGGAAAAAGGGATGAAAAATATGTATACAATTCGAATCTTGTTTTAAATTATCAAATTATGGTGCGTTGCACTTGTTCTCCCCATCCCCCCACCCCTTTTTGTCAGCATTTTTAGTACATTTCCCCCCTCTCCATAATTTGCTCATTAAGTTCTTGAATTATGTTTAACATTCAGCATTTGCCAGTCGAAGGTGTTCCATAAAAATGAAGCTGATACGCAAAGATAATAATGGTGAATAGAATTTGACAGTTCTATAATCTCTTCTATTTTTTGGGTTGTCAAAGAATGCTTGGGCAATGTCTTGAGGTGGGGGTGTTGTACTCTTGGACTAATAACAATTTGTAAGTAGTTTGCTTTCAGGAATTATAGGTGCCGGAACAGCTGGACTTGTTCTGGTAGCAGGGCTTTCCTTTGCAGCAATGGCCCTTTGTAATCAGAGCACTTCCGGTAAGTGGTCTCTTTTAGCTGCACCACATTCTATTTTATCATGGTCTTGTATCGGTTTATAAGCTATTACTTTAGACAATTTAGTTGGAATTGAAATGAACGGTTGTGATGAAAGATTGGTATTGTTGTAATTTTTTTACTATAGGGCCAAAACTGCAGTTGGAACCATTAACAGCTCAACAAGAAGTTCTGTTGGCCTCTGATACTGAGAGTGGTGAGTTTGAAAAGAATGAGAACGAGAAAGGCATATATAAGGATCTTTTGTCACCTTCAGAATTTAATGGCACTTTTAATGATAATAAACTTGAACACGATAATGAGTCCCACTTAATAGACACATCTAATGGCAACGGTGCCACTAACACTGCTCCAATTCAAGAAGACTTGGAAAATGTTTCAGCTTTGGATAGACTGCCAATTGGCATGGACAAAACTCCAATATCACCTAAATTGCCTGAATCTGAAGTTGTTCGTGGCTCTTTTGCTGCTCCAATCCCTAGAGAATCAGATGGCAATCTTGATATTGGTTCACCTGAGGCAACTTCTAACTTGTCTGACCGAATAAACCTAGACAATGATATCGATGAAGGAAAGCTTGGATCAGAAGGAAAAGGGAATTGCGATATCTCAGTGGATTCTTCTTCTAGTTCTAGTTCAGCCAATGAGCCTGTGACTGTGAACTTCTCAGTTAGTCCAGATTTAGAACCAGTTTTAGAAACTCAGTCTGTACCCATAGACATTCTGAAAACGATAGAATCACCTCCAACTGAAGGAAACCTTGAGAGTAGGAAAATGTTGCAGTTTTCTGTTGAAATGAAGAATTCATCTCTAGAAATGAAGAATTTTAATGAGATTGAGTCTTCTGAAAAAAATTCTGTGTCAGCACCAGCACATCCCAAAAATAAGCAAAGCAAAAATGATTATAAAGAGAGAAATGATAGCATACCAGTTTTTGGATCTCCAAATCCTAGGAGTTACTTCTCTCCTTCTGGTATACCTGCTCCATCTGTAGTTTCTGCAGCTCTACAGGTGCATCCAGGAAAGGTTTTGGTTCCTGCAGTAGTTGATCAGGTTCAGGGTCAGGCACTTGCAGCCCTTCAAGTTCTGAAGGTATCTCATTCTTGCTGATATGGTGGAACAATTATGGTATAAAGCCTGCATTTATTATGAGCACTTGCAAGTTGCAACCTATTGATCAAATATCTGAATCTTTTCCAGGTTATTGAGGCTGAAGCTCAACCTAGTGATCTATGTACACGTCGTGAGTATGCTCGGTGGTTAGTGACTGCAACTAGTGTTCTGTCAAGGTATAGGTCCCTTTCTTATTGCTCATATGTATGGCAGTATATGCGAATTGGGAAATTAGCATCTAATTATCAATATCAAAATAGGGAAAAACAACTTGCAATGCCTTTTTGTTACTTGCAGGAATACAACATCAAAAGTTTATCCTGCAATGTATATCGAGAATGTTACTGAAGTTGCATTTGATGATGTCACACCTGAAGACCCTGATTTTCCATCCATTCAAGGTGAGATAGGATTTTTCTTTATCAGCCAAAATATTTGTAGAATAACTTCCTTTTTGTTCTAATTAATGTTGGTAATGGAGTTGGATATTCAGGCTTAGCGGAGGCCGGACTTATCTCAAGCAAGCTTTCAAATAAAGATCTGTTTAACGATGATCTAGGCCCATTTTACTTCTCTCCTGAAAGGCTAGTATGGTTCACACATTGAATTTGCAATATAAGTCTTGTCCTCTTTAGTTTGGTTACAGTTATCTCCATTGCGGATCTTTCCATTACTGTTTTGCCCTAAACATCTGCATGGCCTTTTGTTCTGTATCTAAAGAATGATTCCTGTTTTCTAAAGTCGTCTTAACCTATTTTCATTTTAATTTTGTTGTAAAATGATCTAAGAAGATGTGCATAAATGCCTGATATATACCACTCTGACATAGCCTTAATTTACCTCAACTAATGTGAATGAAAATCGCATTGCAGTTTTGTCATTACAGTTACTATTGCTTTGTTTAAGGATACAAGCCTGTTTTGCTTTCTGATTGGTTCTCATTTCCTCTTTCCAGTCCCCTTTCACGCCAGGATCTTGTGAGCTGGAAAATGGCCCTGGAGAAAAGACAGCTTCCAGAAGCTGACAGAAAGGTTGGCTATGTTTGGGTTTGTTTGTTTGTCCATTTCATATCCTTTTTTGTATGTGGTAGTGAGTATCATTGTTATTAATTTTACCTTTATGTCCATGTATAGATCCACTACCAAATTTCTGGTTTTATAGACATTGATAAGATAAATCCAGATGCATGGCCTGCGCTTGTGGCTGATTTGTCTGCTGGAGAACAAGGAATAATAGCACTTGCTTTTGGTAAGTCATGTTGAATTATAATTTTTTTGTGTGCTAAATTTCATGTTTGATTTTGAAGTTGATGATTGATATGCCTTTGTTATTTTCATTATCCTGGCAGGTTTTACTAGACTGTTCCAGCCAAATAAGCCTGTGACAAAAGCACAAGTTGCTGTCGCTCTTGCAACTGGTGAAGCTTCTGACATGGTAAGTGAGGAACTTGCACGTATTGAAGCAGACTCTGCGGCAGAAAATGCAGTATCTGCTCATAATGCTTTAGTTGCTGAAGTTGAGAAGGATATTAATGCTAGTTTTGAGAAAGAACTTTTAATCGAAAGGGAAAAGATCGATGCTGTGGAAAAGATGGCAGAAGGGGCAAAGCATGAACTGGAAAGGTTAAGAGCTGAAAGAGAGGCAGAGAATATTGCCTTAATGAAGGACCGTGCTTCGATTGATTCAGAAATGGAAATTCTCTCTAGGTTAAGGCTTGAAGTGGAGGAGCAGTTGGAAAGCCTGATGAATAACAAGGTAGAGATATCATACAAGAAGGAAAGGATTAATAAATTACAAAAAGAAACAGAGGCTGAAAGCCAGGAGATTGTCAGGTTGCAGCATGAGCTCGAGGTGGAGAGAAAAGCCTTATGTATGGCCAGGTAAGGAAGTTAACTCTATTATCAAATTGTTTTAGAATCCATACTGCAACAGCTAAAAGGGAAGAATAAAAAAGATTCTTTAAAATATACATTAGATGCTGCGTGCTCAATCTATAATGTCACCTTTCTTCCTAGTAAGAAGTAGGAACAATGTGTCAGACATGATGTTCATATGTTATGATTTATATTCTTGTTTAGTTTACATAAGTATTCTTATTGAATCTTGTTCAAAGAAAAAAGTATACTTAGTGAACCCGTATTCAATGGAAAATATTATACCCTTTGCAATTGCTAAACCAATATATTAGGTAAAACTGTTGGTTTGAAATGACAAGCTGGGTTGCTTTCTATTATGAATTTTACTTTCTTTTGTTTACCGTTATATCCATTGGGAGAATCTATTATGGTCCATTTTTCTGTCTTTAGTTTATCTGTCGTCCACCACCATGAGATTTTCTGACAGGTGAGGTAAAATCTGTGTTGATCTCATGTGTGACTATTCTTGTTTAATTTACAGAAGCATTATTCCTTCAAAATCTGTGTTCAAACCTGCAAATGCTTTAACCCCCTACTGCTAACCAATAATACATGGCTTGATTGTTATCATGAATTTTCTCAAGTATGGCAGTCGAATTGATATTTCTCCTGCATTTCTTATCTGTAAGTTTTGACTCTGCCTCTCTTGGGTTATTGTAAAATCCATTTGGAGATCAATTGTTGCCTTTTTGTTGTCGTTCTTCATTTTCTTTTTGCTGTCATCGGCTGCTTTAGTCTTTCTGAAAGATATGCTTGACTGTGCTGTTCTCATTTGAGCATTTAAAGTTGATTACTCGTTACAAATGTTACAAAACTCTCTCATAATTTAGGGCTTGGGCTGAGGATGAAGCAAAAAGAGCAAGAGAACAGGCAAAAGCCTTGGAGGAGGCTAGAGACCGCTGGGAGAGGCATGGCATCAAAGTGGTTGTTGATAAAGACTTGCACGAAGAGACTGTCACAGGTTTTACATGGGTAAATGTAGGGAAGCAAGTTGAAGCCGAAGGAACCATCACCAGGAGTGAAGCTTTGGTGAGCAAGCTCGAGGCATTGGCAAGTGAAGTAAAAGGGAAATCTAGAGTGTTTATCAATAAGATTATTCAAAGGATCCATTATTTGATCTCAGTGTTGAAGGAGTGGGCCTCCAAGGCATGTACCAAGGCTGAAGAATTGAAAGACATGACCGTGTCAAATGCAAGGGAATCAGTGCATGAATTGCAGCAAAGCACAGCGGAATTTCGCTCGGCCCTTAAAGAAGGTGCAAAACGGGTGGCTGGAGATTGTCGAGGAGAAGTCGAGAAATTCACTCGGAGGTTCAGAACATAGCCCACCGTTGCCCATGATTTAAGTTTCGCCTTTCCTGGGAATAGGAATAAACAAATTTTGCAGTTAAGAAGCATGTAATTTCTCTCATTTCTGACCAATTTACTTTATAATGTACCCTGTCATCCTTACCATTTCAGATGCGTGTTAAAGAATACTAATAAATAATGAAAAATTGCTACTGGTGCTTATTTGTTCTCCATGGTACCTGTTTTAAAAAATCAAATAGAATAAATTTTGATTTTGATTGAATCTGAAATTTCATGGATATTCAAATCCATGACCCCTCTGCATTTTATCGAGTTCTCGGGTGAACCAATCGCTTAGATTCAGAGTCCAAATCTCCATTTTAGATTCTACTCTAAAATAATAACTCGATTTAAGCAAAACAATTGATCAACTATTTCATATTTCTAATTCCAAGTAAAAACAAGTTCCAGTTCATGAATTTCATTCTCAAAACAAAATATTAAACTTTGAGCTAAACAAACTTCTCTAAAACCTCCAAAATGAGACATTCAAGCTAGTAGCAAAATAGAGCAAATCAACAACATATGCTTCACTTCTTCTTTTCACCACCTCCAGGATGAGCCCTGTAACATTACACCAAGAAAAGCGATTTACTAATACCATTTTTGGATAGCAAATGCTCCTCCAAAACATAAAGACGATAGAAGAATTCTCCATCCTTGGATATAAGATATTACCTCATCTTGCGGAGAACACTGGACATCTCCTCTCGCTTCTTCTTTGCCCTTTTGTGAGTTCCCAGCTTTCTTTTAGCTACCTTGAGAGCTCGCTTGTCCTTACCAACTTTCAAAAGCTCAGTGATCCTCTTTTCAAATGGTGCAAAACCAGCAACTTCCCTGATCAAGTTCCTCACAAAATGGACTCTCTTGCTAGTTTTCTGAAGAAAAAAAAAATAGCAACAAAAGAGAAATAAATACTTTTGACTTCCACAAAGAAGTAATTAACTAAAACCCAGTCCAATGATACAAGACCTTCCAAATGAAAAATTAAATGGTGTATAACAAAATATCTAATATTGTCTATTTTTTCCCTCTTTAAACAAAAGACAATTATTCTACGAAAAGTACTTAATTAGGCATAGGAAACACTTACTCCTTTTCTATTAGATGGACGTGGAGCCAACTCCTTCTTGGTTACAACATGACCCTTGTTCAGTCCTACAAAGAGGCCTGTATTTGGCTGCTTGGTAGCCATGTCTGCTTAAGCAACAATAATTCACATGTATAAATAAAATGAAAAGCTGCATAACAGGGATCATCATTTTTTAATACATTACTCTTGAAACTAGAATTACAATTACTAATAAAAAACATATCTACTTCACTCGAGCTCAAAACTGTTATTTCCCTATCAAAATATACAGGAGAACTATGCCGGTTGCCATCAAAAACTAAAATGGTACCATCATAAATAAAATTCACTACGCCTTTGAAGCCAACTAAATTATCAATCTTACTAAAATAACCAGAGCTCTCACCAGTCATGAATGTTTCAATAATCTTTCAAATCCAATCACCAATTATTCAGATTTCAGTTCATGGACTGAACAGATGTACATACATTTAACTAAGGAGTGCAACACTTTTTAAGTTACTGATCTTCACAAACCTCTACAATTTCATAAAATTTACCAGCATCAGCAGTTAATCAAAGACAAAAGGATGGTACACACAAATTTCCAAATATCGCGAGACCAAGATCTGTAATCATATGACATCACAGTTTTACTGCGAATGAAATGAAAAATGGGCTTATAAAATTCAGAGAAATGGAATTTAAAACATAAAAACATTGTTATGCAAAATCATATAATCTAAACAACCACGAATCAGATAAAAAATAGTTTCAAATGCTCGAAATCAGCTAAAAAAAGCCCTATTTTCCACTTTCTTCTTCATTAACTTGAGCAATCTGGCACAAAAGACTATGTTTTTAAGTTTGCAGTTCGTTCCCCAAGGAATCAAATAGATTGCAATACATTTAGGAGGACAAAGAGTGAAGGGAGCTTAGAGAAAGAGATTTAGAGAGATTCAGTTACCTATTGAAAGGGCAAATCTAAGGTGGAGTAGTGTATTAGGGTTTTGCGTTGGTTACCAGAGCAATATATGGAAGAGGCTAACAGGCTAGGTTTTGAATTTTATTTATGTTTAGGATAAAATACACATAATTCTCTACTACAATGTATTATTTTATTAAATCCTTTAATTATTATAAATTATAGAATGAATTTTGATTATTGAATGTTATTTTATTGAGTCTCCAACTATTAAATATTATTCCTTTCGAATTATTAAATATGTATATTTCGATTTTTAAAATTATTTCGTTTAAAATGTCCTATTAAAAAAGTTAATAAATAACAATACTTATATTTTTCTTTTACCCTTGCATGTATTATTCTTTTACACTTATCAAAATAAATCTATTAAATCTATTAATCATTTTTTTAGTGATAATTTTATCATTTCTTTTGGTCAAATATATTTCTTAAAATTATGTGTACATTCAATATGAGACACAAATTATGGGACGGAGGTATGCCTGTAAACGAGCCAACTCGAGCTTAAGTATTGTTGATTTTGACTCGACTCGGCTCGAAAATTCGCGAACCTAAAATTTTCAAGCTCAACTCGAACTCGAAATAAAAAAAATCTTAAGTTTAACTCGGTTGAAGCTCAAAATTGAACTCGAACTCGAACCTTAAATATATGAAAATCTTACATTACAATTTTTTTTTTTTAAAAATCAACATATGTAATATTTTAATAATTTAAAACAAAATTTTAATATATTATTTTTTGAGTTACTCGCGAGCTTTTCGAGACAATTATTAATTAGCTCATTTCAACTCGTTAAGAACTCAATTTGAGCTCGAGTCGAGTATTTATCGAGCTTTGATCGAGTCGATCTCGAGTATCTCGCGATCTGTGTCGTCTCGTTTTGTTTATAACCCTAGACAGAAGGAATACAAAATAATCACCGAACTACTCATATGTTTCGAATATTTTTTTCGCTAAAAATTGATTGACATTTAAATTGGATGTGAACATATTAATTGAAAATGATAAAATTTTAAAAGTTAAATGATATTTTTTTATAAAAATTTAATAACTAAACTAAGAGTGAAAACAAAATTAAGTGATAAAAATTTAAAATTTACCCTATTTAAATTGTTTCTTAAATGTCAAATTAGGCTGAAGGCTCCGATATATATAATCAATCCGAGTATTTTTTTCCCCCTTCTACGGGAAAGAACCGACAATTGTTTCTGGTCAAAGACTTGGATTTGGGAATAAGAAGAAAAATAATTACGCGGAGGAGGGACATAGCTAGTTTGCATATTCCATTGGATTGATTTTACCCAGGTCTGTTTAGCTCAAACCCCCTTTTCTTTCCTAAATTTCTCATCCCTTATTTTGATTTCTTCCTCATCTACCTATTCATCAATTTCCCACTCCATCCATACCTAATTTCCCCCCTAAAATTTCCGTTTCAAGACATGGAATTTGGTTCTCAGTCATGGCGTTCTAATTACCTGTTCACAATTGCTGCTTCTTGTTGCTCACCATTTTCTTCCCATATTTTTCCATGTGATATTCTAATGGTTTCTTTCTCTACCTTCTGACTTTACTTTCCACGTTTTATTTTCATTGGATTGATTTTTTTTTGTATGACGTTTTCAGCTTCTCAAGAATTGTCCATTTTAAGTTTTACCAATGTGATGTTTCACTTCTTTTATTATGTAGTGGAGGAACCAGTTTAGATGTTCTTTACATGCTGTATTAGTCATTGTTTAAGATGCAATGGGTAAATGTAAAGAGAAAATAACTCCAGTGACAAAAAATCTCAGATAATATACGATTTTGATTATTTTTTTTAGATTTACGAAAATGATCAATAAAATCGTAATGTGATATCTAATTTGCATTGCGATCTCCACTATCGTAAATTCGCGTTGCATTTCGCGTTGCGATAGTTGAAAATCGATTTTTCATTTCGCATTGCGATAGTCTACAGCTGTCGTTGCGATTTTCCAAATTCGTTGCGAAAATTCGTTATGATAGTTAAAAAAAAAGATTTTGTTTCTTAAGAATTTTCTCTAAAAAGATAGTATCCGCGCGGACGTGTCGAAGACACGTATTACCACGACCACGACCACGACCACGATCAGACCCGAGACGAGACGGACGGCGGCGGCGGCGGCGCGCGAGAGTCCCCCTTGTTCTCTATCACTCAACAAGGAAGTTGGAAAGCCAAGCCTTAAATACCATTCCCAATAGTATTTTTAATACTATGTGGGATTTGAGCATTGCCAACACTTGTTCCCAATACTATATGAGATTGAGCCTTAAATAGTGATATTATTTTTGAATGTTTTGTTTAAAATTACAATAATCGCGATTGATTGTAGATTGACTTTTAATTATGACATATTTAATCGTATAATACTAATGTAGTTGCTGATTCAGTTGTTTTAAGGTACATGATTGTTAATTTTTTCCTGAATAATCACATTGTATTAGAAACAAGTGTTGGTAATGCTCAATCCCATATAGTATTGGAAACACTATTGTGAATGATATTTAAGGCTTGGCTTTCCCACTTCCTTGTTGTGTGATAGAGAACAAGGGGGACTCTCGCGCGCCGTCGTCCGTCTCGTCTCGGGTCGGGTCTGGTCGTGATCGTGGTCGTGGTCGTGGTCATACGTGTCTTCGACACGTCCGCGCGGATACTATCTTTTTAGAGAAAATTCTTAAGAAACAAAATCTTTTTTTTTTAACTATCACAACGAATTTTCGCAACGAATTTGGAAAATCGCAACGACAACTGTAGACTATCGCAACGAATTTATAAACTATCGCAACAACAACTGTAGATTATCGCAACGAATTTGAAAAATCGCAACGAATTTGGAAAATCGCAACGACAACTGTAGACTATCGCAACACGAACTGAAAAATCGCAACGCGATTTTCAACTATCGTAACGCGAAATGAAAAATCGCAACGCGATTTTCAATTATCGTAACGCGAAATGCAACGCGAATTTGCCATAGTGGAGATCGCAATGCGAATTAGAGATCGTATTACGATTTTGTTGATCATTTTCGCAAATCCAAAAAAAGTTGGTCAAAATCGTATATTATCTAAGATTTTTAGTCACTGAGAATATTTTCTCATGTAAAACTTCGTATGTTTCAGGGACTTCAAAGACGGATTGATGAAGAAACTCATAACTCGAGGAGCCTGTGTATTGAAAACCAAAGGAGGAGCTACCGAATGACTACTCGTATGACAATTTTGGAGAGGAACTGAAACAGTGGTGTCATCATGACAATTTAAAACTAGTCAAGGATCCATTGGTATCATTTTTTAGCCGAGAAATCTTTTTTAGTAAAGTTGATGAAAGTTCACCAGCCAGTTTATGTTTCTAATAATTCAATCCAGAGGTCAGTGTATGAACAGGTGAGTCGGCTATCATGCAAGGCTTAAAGAAGTTCAAACAGGTACCTTATCTTCATGTGCAATCCAGAGTGCTCATTGCAATTAATGATGATTATGCTTCTAAAAAACTGGGTGGTATAGTTAATTTTGGAAAACACCGGCGAAGCAGATGGGATCCACAGCCTGAGGGAGATGGACATACAAGTGAAGATGAAAAGATTCATAAAGCAAGCAAAACCCGGTGGGATAGCAATGAATCCAAATTGAAATTGTCGGGTTCTGTTGAGGTTCCTGTCGGATTCAAGTTGGATCCTGAAATTCAGAAATTAAAAGCTGAACTATCAGAGATTGATGAAAAGCTGCAGAAATACGAACTTCATGATGATAGGCCTAAACATGAAAGATCTCCTTCTCCCGAACCATTGTACAACAACTTTGGAACATGAATAAATAAAGGGGAAATGAGGCTTCGTCAAAAACTTATCCTAAAACGTCTAGATATTACATCAAGGTTGTTTTAGAAAAACCCTGATTCAAAACAAAATAACACGCCAGTGCAAAGTTCTGTGAAAAGCATTTTGTACTGGTGAAAGAATATCCTGGCTACAATTTCATTGGGCTCATCCTTGGTCCTTAGGGAAACACACTAAAGAGGATGGAGAAAGTGGGGCTAGGATTCTTTTAAGAGGTAAAGGCTCTTTGAAAGACCTTAAGTGTTCCTCCGAAAAAGAAGATTTACAGGCACATGATAAAGAATCATTAGATGTTGCAGTTCAAATGGTTAAGTGTTAGTTCCAACTGTAGAGGGAAAGAATGAACACAAAAGGGAACAATTAGTTGAGCTTGCAAGACTGAAGAAAGATGCAAGTGGTTGCCTTGTGTATGGTGAGAAAGGACACCAGCGATATTGCTGTCCAAGCATGCAGTTCACTTTCATTAGCATGTCCTACGACTCGTGTGGTAGTGACAACCATCTTACAGTTGCTTGCCCTATAACAATTCAAAATAACCCTGACAAAAGAGTTGATGCAAACCTTTGATTATGTTGGCCATCTACCTCAAATTGTGGATGAAAATCATTTGAAAGAGTTGTTTTCTCCATTTGGTAAGCTAACTGCAGCAAAAGTGACAAGAGACGAAACTACTGGTTTAAGCAAATGTTATGGCTTTGTTAAATTTGAAAACCCAACAGATGCAGCTGCAGCAGTGACACATCTAAATGGTTATAAAATTGATGGAAAGACCCCCATCATTAGTTGGAAACCCTTTTACACCGACCCTGGGTATACAACTGTTTCCCAAATAATCCCTGGCCATGTTGCTTGGCATGTGCTACATGGGCCATTGCCACTAGAACATCAAGCATCTTTGCCTCAAGGTGAGGGCATGAACTTGTTTCAGGCATCCTGTCACTCAACTCCAACCTAAAAGTCAGGGCTCAGGTTTATTTCCCGCACTTTGTGTCTCAGGTATCCATAATCAAAGCAGTACTAGTTGTTCAGTAAACATTGTTTTATTATCCTCATCAAGTTCGAATGCCTCGTTCCCTACCAACCCAATTCATGTTAGTTCTGAAACAATCTCAGACCATGTTACTTGGCATGTTCCATCGCGGTCATTGATACCAGAACATTTGTTGAATTAATATTTTGATATAACATTAAATTGTAAAATTGATTTTAGATTTAATTAAATTTGTCAAAATTTTATCAAAAATAATTCAAATCCAAATTAACTTGAAAACATGTTTGAAATGTTTTTCAACTTAGTCAAACCTTTTCAAAAACATACTCAATCGTTTTTGCGCTTTAAAGATGTGTTTTCAGGTTTTTTTTTGCTCAAAGGATTGATCCATTGGATTCCAAAAAGTTTGGGATCGATCCCTTGTGCATTAAATGTTATTTTTCGTTGTATGTAATGATTATAATGATCCCCAATGGCTTCAAACAACTAGACTTGATATATATATAAATTGAAAGTCAGAGCACCCTAAGGTCAACAAGAATCATATTGAATAAATATATCAACATCCAAGAAGTCATTTGTGATTAATTTCTCAATCTTTTCATTGTAACACACTTGTGAGCTTTATTATTTAATTTTCTCATGTGTGATTTGGGTGAGAGCTTATTATTCGCAAACACATTTACCTTGTGAGGTTTTCTTTTGTTTGATAAATTTGAAATTACTCTTTGGGAGAGTGTGTATTCAAGATTTAGGGGTATAAACCTTGAAGTATTTGTAAAGTTACACCTTGTCCTTAAGGTAAGCAAATTTAGTGGATTTTAAAAATCCTTAGTGTGGATACTAAGGTAGTGGATGTAGACTTGGTTGAGAAGTCAAACCACTATAAATCGTTGTGCAAAAATTTTATTTTTCTATTGTATCCACCAAATTCTATAAAAGGCCAATTTATCATCTCTTGACATTTTCCAGTTTATCAATAATGCTAATAATTGATATCAGAGCTTGACTAATTTGAAGGTCTAACAATCTCTTGAGATTATCCTTGAAGAGTTCTTGCAACTTCTACATCAACCTCAAAAGATGACTTCAACTTTCTGTTTCTACCTTGTTGAAGATTCTTAATCCATCTTCAAGCCTCCTTATTTCAATGTGCAAATTATTCTTATTAGAAGAATATGATGATGTTATTCATTCAAGTTACCAATTATTCGGTTTGGGATGTCATCATTGATGGTTCACCCACTCCTCCAAGAAACAAGTCGAAGTGGGTAAATGAAGATTGGAAGCTAGCCCAACTCAATGTTAAAGCCATGCATATCTTCTTTTGTGTATCTGGATCGGATGAATATCGTAGAGTTTCATCAAGTTCAAATGCTAAAGAAGTTTGGGGAGGTGACTTATGAAGGAACAAGCCAAGTCAGGAAATCAAAGATTGACATCCTCACTCTCAATTATATGAATTTTAAGATGAAGTCCAATTAAGACATCAAGACAATGTTCGATCGATTCACCGTCATTATCAATGAGTTAAACGGTTTCGGGAAGGTCTATCCAAATAAATAAATTGTGAGGAAGTTTCTTTATATCTTATCAATGTCTTGGGAATCCAAGACGACAACTATTGAAGAAGCCAAGGATCTTGAAGAACTTACTCTTGATGAACTCATTGGACCCTTGCTTACTCATTAGATGAGACTTCAAAGAAAAGAAGAAGAGGATGGAAAGAATGAGAAGAAGAAAAAAATGATGTTTGCATTGCTTTTAAGTCCACCAATGAATATGAAGAAGACTCTAGTGAAGAGGTGGATGAAGAGATGGCTAAACTTTTCATGAAATTCATGTCTTCAAAAAGGAAATATGTGAAACATGAATCAAAGAAAGAAAAAGATCACATCATATGCTACAATTTCCAAAGACCGGGACATGCGAAGTATGATTGTCCCCAATTGAAGAAGAATGGATTAAGAAAGCCAAAGAAGAAGGCTTTTGTAGTTACTTGGAGTGATGAGGACATCACTGATGATGAAGATGATGAAGTAGCCAACCTTTGTCTCATGACCATTCAAGAAGATTCAATAGTAACTTCTAACTCTAGTGAATTAAATTATTATTCTTTTAATGAGTTACAAGTTGCTTATGATGAATTGTATTTGGAATTTGAGACCATGAATTCCAAATATAAGAAATTAATTTCTAAATTCAAAAATGAAAATGATTTTCTTTTAGAAGTAAAATTGGTTTTGAAAATCAAAATAAAATTTTAAGAAAAGATTTGGAGTTTTCAAAAACCAAAATTAAAGATTTTGAAAAAGAAAATCTTGATTTAAAAATTAAGCTTGAAAACTTAATTAAAGAAAAAGAAATCATTTTAAACAATTCATTAAAATCAATAATGGAAAAATGTTCACATTGTCATTATCATGGTCATAATTCTAATACTTATCCTATAAAGAAAAGAAAATCCTATAAAATAAGACAAGTATGGGTTCCTATGGGAACTAGAGGCATTGAAACTAACAATCAAGGATCTAAAACAATTTGGGTACCAAAAATCAAGTAAGTGTCTCTTATAGGTGTGTTAGAGCAATGATGAGCAATGTCAAGCTATTTTGAGGCTCTAGACACACTAAGGAATGACACTTGAAGAAAGGGGACCTAAAAGCAACATTAATTCAAGTGGTAAAATGTTTAAATTTCATGCAATTTCATGCTTTTATGTGATTTTATATGCTTATATGCATGATTGAGTGTCTCCATATAATAATTAACTACCATTAGTTAGGGGGATATATTATTGCATGAATTGCACATTTATGGCATAATATGCTTATGTTGATAATTTTGGCCTTAACTTTGCAATATTTGATTTTTTTTGTTTGTGAAATCATGTTCTCCATGCGTTATAATGAGCATATGTGTTGTTTTTGACAATATGATGTTTAAATGTAGAAAATTTTAAAATATGCATATTTAAGATCTTTAGAGGGTTTGTGTGACTTGATTTGGACTTTATATGTGCAAACTATGGACTAAATTGGTCAATAATAAATAATTTGCATAATTTGATGTTTCAAATTGACTTTCATGCACATTTAGTATCCTCTAAGTCATTAAAATTAATTTCCAATCAATAATATGACTTAGGTTGCATCATATTCGAGTCAAGTGTCATTCAATTTGGTCATTGGAGTAAAAATGTAATTTTCCAGAAAAATGATGGATCACTTTTCTAAAAGGATCGATTCCCTTTTGCGATGGATCGTTCCCTTTAGGCCAAAATCGTATGGGAGGGATATTTTAAGTCTATTTGAGTGCACATCAACCATTTTTCTCATATTTCGAACACAAACTCTCCAAACACTCTCAAATCATTTTTTTCATCAAAATACTTCAATTCAATCGATTTCAAAGAGCTTTCATGCGATTTTCTTCCCTAATATTTCATTTCAACGTATCATTCTTTATTTTTGAAAGAATCGTCACATTTGGGTAAGAATTTTTCAAAACCCTAACATTTTCAAAATTTTAAATTCAAACAAATTTGATTGAATTAGGTGGTTAGAGAACAATTATTAATTACAGATATTGTTGTTTTGTTGCAGGGAGCATTACCCATTGCCAATTTTTTTCAAAAACCCAAACTTTTATCTTATACCCACAAGGTGTTTGATAAAATTCCCCAACCAAAAACCACCTCTTTATTCCATTCAGCCATACCCTATTTTTATACTCAAAATTGTTTTTTAATTATTTCAAAAATACCTTTTAGCATCCTTATAACATCCACTTTGTTCTAAACTCATATTTTCTTCAAAAACCTTTCAAAATGCCAAAAAGAAAAACCATGGCTTCGAAGGGGCAATCCTCAAGTTGCTTCTTGGATTGATCAATGCTTTAAATCAGCCAAAGCCCGTGAGAGATATGACTAATTTTTTTCATATCATCTGATTAAAGAAACTTGAAAAATTGATTTTGAATTTTGAATTTGGGTTTTCCATATAAGCAAAACTTGAAGGATATGAAACTTTTTAATTTTCTAAACTTTTATGGTCCAATCTATCTTTATTTGGTTCGACCTTTTTATTCAAACGATGTGTCATATGCTTCTCATGATGGCACTTTTTGTCAGACCATAGTTTCTCACCTTATGGTTATACCATCACCATCACTATCGATTTCATCGCATAATCTTTTGATCTTCCTCTTACCAGTGATAATAATGAAAAAATGTTTATGTTGCAGGCACATGATAAAAAATCATTAGATGTTGCAGTTCAAATGGTTAAGAAAGTGTTA